ATGTTTCTCCTGGCCTCTGCGTCCGAGCAGAAAACTCGCGCCAGTCCAGGGATAACACTGCGCTGACGCGTAGGTATCCCTCCATGGCGGCCAGCACGCCGATCGATGTCGGCCCCGGTGCGATCTGCAGGTAGTACCTGCACGATCCTGGCCCAGTCATCGCCCAGCAAACGACATGAATACGGCCCTCTGCTCTTCGACCGGTTATTGAGTCGAGCCGGGTGAGCAGCCCATAATCGCACATTTTCTGCAGCCAGCTCCAAGCTCTCTCAGCGACGCTGCCGATGTCAGGTGGCTGCGTGGATGGCGCCGGCTGGGAGACGTGCAGGTGCGGGCAGCAGCCGCAGTCCTGCACGACCGTGTCGGCATCGACCGGCGGTGGAGCTGCTGGACGTTCCTGCGTCAGAGCACGCTCCAACATCGCCGTCAGTTGCACGTCAGGCTGCGAGGCCCCCTGTGGGCCTGGGCGGCCATCTCCGACTTGCCGCTCGAGCAGCGCCGTTAGGCGCGCTACGTGCTCCTCACTTTCCTTCATGGCACGAGTCCGTCACCACTCACGGTGACACGATCACACGCAATCACACGCTGTACACCCGTGTTATCATGGTCCTACCGACCGCGCCATGTTCGGTTTCAATGCATGTTACACGGAGGCGTGCCGCGTGCGAGCGCGGATATATCCCTGACTCTCCCCCCCTCGGCGCCAGCCGCCGCACCGTGGCGCTAGTGGCGCCCGGCGCACATCATGCCAGATTGACCCAAACCAAGCAGGGTTAAAGTTTTGTTTGTTGCCCGGTCAGCTCCTGTTGAATCGAGGCACTAAGACCGAACATTCGACTTTTCTCTAAATTGGGGACCCATTCGCAGAAAATTTTGCGCAAACGCGAGCATTGGTTCATTAAAAAGTGAAGAATTGTGCTACCTTACATACTCAATGTGATGTTTATCAAACGTGCGAGAAGAGAAACACATTTCGTTTGTTCATATTACATTTGAACATCAAACGTTTGAGAAGAAAAACATGTTATGCGTTTATGTTCGTACCATTACATCTCAGCACATTTCCATTACATCTCAGCTTATTTCCATCACATCTCGGCTTGTAGTGCTTCATCACTTTGGTTCGGTATTTGTTGACTCTTCTTTGATTGCAAATGCATTGGGAGTAATAATCCTGGATATTAGAAGTTATGTAGTTACGTCCTTTCCTAGGGAGCACATGAAGCGGAGGTAAAAGGTTTAATAACACCTCTGTTTTCCCAGGAAAAGTTGCGGAGCTTTGGAAACCATGTTACCAGATTCGTGTGTCGGGTCGTGTTTTACGTCAGGGCCAATGGCTGCTATGTTGCTGAGATACACTGATGCAAATAACTTTATCAGTCCTAGTCCCATAAACTTAACGTTGGCTTTGCTTCTGGAAACCTAATTTTCTGTGACGATTCGCTGAATTTTGGAGTTATTGCAAAATCTTGACAGGGACGTAACGACGATTATGACCTATAGTCTATCTTAATGTGCATACGATTGCGACACATTTGTTTTAAGTTGATGCCATAACTGTACTATTTTGATAAGCTTCTGTCACACAACTTCAATTTTGCACTCCAGCTTTTGTGAACGACCAACTCTGTCAGCCTATGGATCAATACGCTGAGAATAAAACAATGGTTGACACGGTGCTGAGCAGCCCGTGCAAATATGGGTCAAGTGCGTGTCGACAAGAAGCAATCAAATCAAATTTTTAAAGTCACCTTTTTCGGGCAGTTTCTTACGATATTACTTGTTGGTTAAGTCAATTTTAAAACAAGATAACCGCTTGGGGTTCACCGTACCTTATAGGTGCGAGCAATGTCCACGTTATGTAAGAAACAACAAAAAGTTAAATAGGATGGTTTTGTTATGTCAAACTAAAGGTAAAGAGAACGTCAAAAATGTAATTAGCTTGTTGTGCCTGAAGTTTATGTATAATATAGTAACAAAGGGTATGATCTTGTCCTTTCCTTTCCTATCTCCTGTCAGATTTCATTTTCCTGAAATACACGACTAAAAAACACTACAGACTTCGCACATGAGATAAACCAGTTAGGGAGGTGAAAACACCTAATGATGAGCCAAAACATGTTATAACTTACATACCCTCACTGGCGAACACGGACAGTGAGCGGTACAAAAGGCATCGGGTCGGCATGGCCAAGGCGCATGGACAGCACAAACACTAACAAACACACAAAACACAAACACACAAACACAAACACAAACACTCTGAACGCCAACCAAAAGACACGCGGTACTTTTGATCCTTGTTCAAAAGGACATTACTGGAACACTGACACGCTCCACTGCATTGCGCTGGCAGATGCGGCGCAGAGTGAGGCACATCGCGCCGCGCAATGACCAAACCGTGGAGAACTGCCCAGCATTGCCCAGTCCATTACCATGTCCACATTGGACATTACCATGTCCACATTTTGATTTCCCCAGCACGCCAACTGCAGGTTCGCGTCGCCGAGTCGACCGGGGAATCCGTGGGAATCCAGGGAATCCGATGCATATGTGGATTACTCATTCGCTGCTTGAGCTACAACATTTTTGTAGGCACGGCGTTTATTTTTCATGCACGCGTGGTACCGGAAATATTGTCACAAGCTCGACTGAGCGCAAGAGCGCAGGCCGGGGACCATCCACCAGCAGGGCAGCAAGTTCATCTCACACGGCATCAGCAGCAGCACGGGATTATCCCCGTGGCCGATCCCCTCTACCACAGAGCAGCCAATCCAGCCCGCCATTACCTCAAAAAGTGACCGGGCCACCTTGGGCGCCATAGGTGATGATCGATGATCTATGAAACGCAAGCTTAGCGAGAGCAACAGCAAAGCGTGTGTGGCATTTGAGACTTCCAGGATGATCAGCGACAACGACAGAGAAACTGCCACGCAGCAACGGGTCTGGCGCGGCGGCAGACCGGCACGGACAGCTACAAGAACTCCGAGCACCAGTCGTTCAGGCACTGCCAGCAGTTGGACGCCTGCATAACGTTGCAGTGAATCAGGTCCTGCAGCCAGCCGACGAACAGCTCCTTGTCCTTCTTCAGGACCAGGAACTGGCCGAGCACGATGTAGGCGCGGTCGAAGCCGTGGCTGACCAGCCGCTTGCCGAGTACGTCGGCAATGCCGGCTAGATCAGTCACGGGCTTTTCGCCCATCGGCTCCGCCACAAAGTTGCGGTGCTTTTGAGTGGTGGACGACATCCTCTTCCAGCTGAGGGAGCTGGGCGGGTACTGCTGCGACAGAGGGAGACCTGATTGCACACACAGGGCGGGTTTTGTTTATCCAGCTATGGTGTCGGATAGCTGAAATGTCGGTGCAAAACGCCTACATACACTTTTTGACACCGCGATTTCGTGTTTCTATGGTCTTTGCAAAATACGTGAACACCTCTGGACATAGCTGACCAATCGCACACAAGGCCCTAACTGTGTCACATATTCTGCACAAAAAAGCACACAAACAACCAAAGTACTGGCAACGAAATGGCTGCTCCAAAAATATCCAAAAGCAACGTGCTGGAACAAGCTCCATGCAAAGAGCTGGCTGGCCACGCCCAAGAACGGTGAAACAGGTCTCGTGAGCTAGTAAAACGCGGGCACCGATACGGACTGCCTGCCTCGGGTCCCGTTCCCCACCAAAGTCCAGTCACCTCGGGGAAGGCACCTGGCCGCCACCCTCACTCGCGCTCCCCGTCCCCTCCTTCAGCGCACACAGCGATGCACACACACACAAAAGCTAGGTTGTCACCGCTCGCTTCACGCTCCGCTTGTTGTTGAGCGCCTGTGAAGATCCTCGATTGTTTACCCCTCTGATGCCGCCCTGAGAGGGGCGACGACGATAGGCAAACGCGCTCGCCATTCCGCCGGAATTGACCCATGAGAAAAGCCGCGGCGCCGCGCATGCGCGGTGCGAGTCTCCTTGGTCGGAGAAGGCATGGAAGACAAATGCGGCCCAGTCCTAGCGGATGCCGCTCCAAAAACCCGCTTTAGGCCAGCACAACGCGTGGGGCTCAGGGAACAGCTCAGTTGGCCAGTGCGGGAATGGACCAAGCCAAATCTTGTGGACCAATCAAATCTTGCGTTGCTTCTGTGACGGTCTCGTTGACAGACATGGCGTTGTGATGACATAGCCTGCTCATGAGCACGAACTTCTGGGCCTTAGCACGAAATGCAGTCAGTGACAGCATTTTGCTTTGTAGTCAAATTCGCTCACTGCCACTAGCGGCTTGACTAAATAAATTCACGAAATGAGATCATGCTGAAAAGTAATTCCTCTTGCATCTCTACATTTCAATTACCCTATGACAATGACTTACGGGGCATCACGTGAAAACGATATACACAGTGACCGCATTTTCCCTTTGGTAACAGTGACGTGGGAGGGGGTCATTGCATCAACACAACTGACCTGTTGACGTTTGGAAACAACGCTGACACTCTGCGATCGAAACGCGCCAGGTCACGTAGTCACAAAAGATCAATATGGAAGACATCTGAACTACCGCGGGCAGCTGGCACCGGCAGGTGGCACCATCCGTCATGAGCTGGCACCGACACGTGGCACCGTCCGTCATGAGCTGGCACCGCCACGTGGCACCGTCCGTCATGAGCTGGCACCGACACGTGGCACCGTCCGTCATGAGCTGGCACCGACACGTGGCACCGTCCGTCATGAGCTGGCACCGACACGTGACGCCGGCCGTCACGAGCTGGCACCGACACGTGGCACCGTCCGTCATGAGCTGGCACCGGCACGTGGCACCGTCCGTCATGAGCTGGCACCGACACGTGGCACCGTCCGTCATGAGCTGGCACCGACACGTGGCACCCGTCCAGCGCTAGCACCGGCACGTACCACCGTCTGTCATGAGCTGGCACCGACACGTGGCACCGTCCGTCACGAGCTGGCACCGACACGTGGCACCGTCCGTCATGAGCTGGCACCGACACGTGGCGCCGGCCGTCATGAGCTGGCACCGACACGTGGCGCCGGCCGTCATGAGCTGGCACCGACACGTGGCGCCGGCCGTCATGAGCTGGCACCGGCACGCGGCGCCGGCCGTCATGAGCTGGCACCGGCACGTGGCGCCGGCCGGCATGCGACAATCGGTCACGACGTGGTCCGACTATGCACGAGCGGTATGGGGCCACCCAGGTATGAATATTTTAGGTGTCTGTTATCTCCTGTTATCCTGCCAGCCTCTGCCTGGGAGATCCGCGCGGCGGCAACACGCGTGCGCCATGCAGAATGGCGCGCTTGTGACGCGATCACGGTGGGCTACAACGGAAACTTGTGTCCTCTAAACTACTTACACGGAGAACACAATGCTTGGAGCAGCATCCTCCAAAAGCGGTGCCCACAACGGCCTAGCGCCCGGTGACGCAGGCATATGGGGGCCAATAGCTTCTTATCGCAATAACGTCTTTTCGCAGCGCTGAACTCGAGGGGCGAGAGGCAATCGCAAACCCACAGGTCGCAGTGAACCTCCCTTGCAATTCTCGAAAGCGTCCGGCAGGGCGGGTGCAATGGCAAGACCGCCCCAAAATATTCCCAGATGTGGCCCGTTACCCGTGAGCTACTCTGTCGGCACCTGAGCTGGGATGTGCTGGGTCTACCAGTGACGTCACCTGACCCAACGCCTCACTCTGGCGGCGCACCTCACTTCCTGGCGGGCAGGTCGAAGCTCTCCAGCGCCTGGTACTTGGCGAGCAGCTGTCGTTTCAGCGTCAGCTGGTCCCGCAGCGCCTGCAGCCGGTGCAGCTGGTCCGGCCGGCTGTACTCGATGCCCGGCGTCTTGCGCACCTGTGGTCGATGTCACTTTAGTGCTCCGCAAAACTTCCGCCGACAGCGGCGCTACGACGTAAGATCTACGCTACACTTTTTCGACTAAAAAAAAGTCTGCCAACTTAATTATACCAGACATTACTTCTATTCTCCATACTTGCATTCGTCATTAATGCTACGCGACAAAACCTACGCTTCAAAAACTTATGTCATTACTTCCCCTGCAAAATATGCTAGTCATTACTCAGACGTGGCGTTACTTTTTTTGAAACGAGTATTATGTGACATTAGTGCTTTACGACAAAACTTAAGTGATGAAGCAGGTACACTTAAAAACTTATGATCATAATTACGCCCACTGCCAACATCTTTACTTGTACATGATATTGCCACTGAGGTCATTTCCCATTCGCGACATATGTGGTACGCGACACAGGCCATAACTTAAAAATTATACCCCAGTACTTCCACTCATAGGTCAAGCCCCACCAAAATCCCGGAGGGAGCGAGCACATGGGAACACTCGGACGAGCGAGACCAGACTTCAAGTGCACACTTCACGGTAGCCTGGTCACGCATTATCGCTGCTACAACTATTGCGATCGACACAGCTACGAAAGAAATAGTTCTTCGCAACATGTGTGGGACTGAAAATGCACATAATGTAAGGTCGTCGTGTTCCAAAATAAGTTTGGGGGCGTAGCAGGGAACTGACCAACCCTACATTGTGCTCACGCATTTTGGCTTTTGCACTCGACGCCTAAGTCATGGCAGAAGAAGTAATGTTGCGGGTACGTATAGCCTGTGCAAGTTTTTAAGTGGAGCACATATAGAAGTTTAAGGTTTAAGTACTGACAGGCACACAGTTACGCGACATACATTCTGTCGTTTAGCACCAAATCACGCCAAGTCTTTGCAGTAGCAGAAATATGTAAAAGTAATGACTACATAAGTTTTGCAGCAATAGTAATGGCGGGTAGAGGTTTTTGAAGCATAACATTCATCGTGTAGCACTAATGTCCCGTCTAAGTCATTGCAGTAATCTCGTGCATAAGTTATGACTGTTTAAGGTTTCACAGTGGACGCAATGATGGGAAAAAGTTATTTTTTAAAGTACGCGTTTTTTTGTGTAGCACCAATGCCGCGTAAACCTCTTGGCAGTAGACGCAGTATCACATATTTTTTAATACTGATTTTGTGCGGCAAATGCAAAGACGGATGTAAGTCTTCGCAACAAACGTTTTGTCGCGTAGCACTAACGCCGCGTAGACGTACTGACAACATAAGCAATATCGTAGACATCTCGCCTAAAGAACTTTTTGCTGCAGCACCAATGGCGTGCAAGCCCTGCGGTCGAGGTGGAGTGACCCCTGCGGTCGAGGTGGAGTAACCCCTGCGGTCGAGGTCGAGTAAACCCTGCGGTCGAGGTGGATTAACCCCTGCAGTCGAGGTGGAGTAACCCTGCGGTCGAGGTGGAGTAACCCCTGCGGTCGAGGTGGAGTAACCCCTGCGGTCGAGGTCGAGTAACCCCTGCGGTCGAGGTCGAGTAATCCCTGCGGCGCGGTGGAGGTAACCCCTGCGTTCGAGGTGGAGTAACCCTGCGGTCGAGGTCGAGTAACCCCTGCGGTCGAGGTCGAGTAACCCTGCGGTCGAGGTCGAGTAACCCCTGCGATCGAGGTGGAGCAACCCCTGCGGTCGAGGTGGAGTGGCCCTGCGGTCGAGGTGGAGTGGCCCTGCGGTCGAGGTGGCCGCGGAGTCAGCGGCGCAGGTGCTCCCATCCTGCCCCGCGACGCTCTGCGGTCAGAGCTTTACTGAGCAACGACTCTGAGGTCATGCAGAACGCGTACCGTTGTTTCCCCACTTGGCTTTGCACGCCGCTTACATTAGCGTAACGCCATGACGCAACAGCCCACAACTGTTATTAAGCGGCAACAGCCCACAACTGTTATTAAGCGGCGTTGACAAAACCAAAACGACAGGACGGATGACAATGAGTGACCGTGAAAGGGCCCCCCCCCCCCCTGACAGTATTCTAATACGAGTCGATAAATGATGCAGGCAGACCATTCTGTTGTCCTCTAATGTCCTCTTATGGTGACTATATAAACACACACACACACATGCATATATATACATAATCAAGATACTATCAAGAGAACCTGATCCAGCAGCACCCATTTTGAATCACATTTCTCTGACAGCCCAGAAGCTGCTCTGCTATGCATGCAGGATCTCATGCCAATTGTTTCAATATGGCAAGCAGCCTTATATCAGCCTCTGTTATAAGTATATAATACCAACAGAACTGCAGCATTGGACAGTGAGTATCACAAAATGTGGGGCTGTAAGACCAGCATAACACAAAAAATGAGCCCGCATCACGAGAACACCTTCGGGGATGCATGTGGTTAATTCAATTCATGTCAAACCTACACTCCCATACTTCTTTCATGGACACAAGGATGAATCCATTGTCTCACTAAACCTAAATTCAACCAATGCTACTTAATCATAATTTAAGCTGATTGATATAAAAAGTAGCTGTTACCTGTTCTCTTGCTTTGTCAAACTTCTTCTGAAGTTCCAGTATCTTTTGTGCCACCTCCTGTGATGATTTGTTGGTATCAGGTGTGTCCTTTTCAATGCTGAAAAACCAATCAGTAATAAATAATTATGCAAATGATGCCACAAACTGCATTTACAAGCTCAGAAAGCACGACTCCAAACACACACTGGCAGATTACCAAAGCTGCCTGATCCCTTGCACTTTATGTTCAAATGAGGCTCTTCACATTTTAGTGATCCATGAAAAGAAACCTATATTTAGGGAAACCCTGGGAGACCAAACAGACCACTAAACCACAGTGCAAAACAAGTGATATCAGCTCACTGCCCACAACATTACTCACTGCATGTGTATCTATTCCTGTAGATATGATTGTCCACAGCGAATGAATATCTGGTGAAAATGTGCAACAATAGAGCAGCTTTTTACTCCCTTGAATACAGGCAGCATGGCAGTGAATGTGGGGTATTTTATAACAGACCATTACAGATATCTTCCATCAACTTCCTTAATGCTAAAGCAGGGCACTGACCTAAGTTGGCCTAAGTAAACATTTGTTTTTAGGAACTTACTACCCAGCACAATCCTTGCTCCTCATTCAAGAGCAAATGAAACAGAGTGGGTTTTTGGTCACCATGCTCTTCTTGCTGTCAAACAAGGTCAATGACCTTAACTGAACACCAGTGACCTTTTGCCTATGACAAGTATCCAGGTTGAAGGCAGTTGCATAAGGTCAAGGAACACCTGGGCAATAACCTAGAATTGGACCTTATTTGACCATGTCTAGATAGGAAGCTCAAATTCTTAATGTCAGTTTGCATAAAGTGAACCTACACTATGGAACTGTCTCTAATTCTCTTAGTTTTCAAGATATTTGGGTCAAACTGACCCACACCCAATCATACATAGTTCAACTGGTTTCCAAGGTGAGTGCTATTCTGGCTGAACTTCTGACTTTCTTTGGACATAAAGTGAGGGCATGGCCATCAAGTGTGCATATAATAAGGTTATTGCAACACAATGTAAGGCAACCCAGAAATGAGATTGCTTGTGTATTTTTGTTGAAGATTGTATATCTTATAGATACTCTTTAAGTGTAATAGTTTGCAGTTGTAAAACATACAGCTTTGCTTTGAGAAACTGAATCATAATTTTATGCTTAAAAATGCATGATCTACACAAAAATATATAACATGAGAACATGAGAACACAGCAGCTAAATACAATGTTTTTATCAGGTAGGAATATGGCATAAAATGTGATATCGCACACCGACTGGGCGATGGTTGCCAGGACAGTTGGGTGGGGAGATTGACCTGGGTGGCAATGGTTAGGTAAGGTCCAGTTAGGCTACATTACATTCTGGTTCCCTTTCTTGCTTTTCTTATAAAGACATTTTCACACAGCACTTGCAGATTGTCCGGGCCCTCAAACACAAATTCCAGCTTTTCACAATCATCTGACCACCCCACCTGGTGCTGCTCCATCTTGACTTATGGTGCAATATAGTGCATACTGATATTGGGTGAAGACATGCTATTTTAATTTTTTAATCATCATTATGTCCTTAAATCTTATTAATTCATCGTGTTCTTTGGTAGCATAAGGTACCTTCCTTTAACAACACCATGAACACTATTATCAATGGAAACCATGCTCAAAAAGCATTTTTAAGTAAACACAACCTGAAAATTCCACATGATTTGGCTGAGTCAGCACACCAGCAGGAGGTTCAGAGCAGATCTTGAGATGACATTGAGCACGGTTCCTGGATTACATACAGACTGGCATATTTCCACGTATATGCTCACCATGCCCATGCACCCAAAAAACTGCAAACAAATGTTTGATGCTTAGCGAGACCAGCACGGAGCGGACATAAGGATCTCTTTCCCAACCTGGCCTGGACGATCCCCCGCAAACAATGAAAGCAGCTCGCGATGCAAATGACGATAGCGCGAAATTATAGTTACCCTCGTATAATGTCGTAGATAACTGGCAGAAAATTGGGGTCTAATCCTTCCACCTTTCTTCCACTTACAGACATGCCCCAACCAACCACACGCTAATTCTTGCGCAACGGGGGCGGCGCAGCTACACAGCGATGACGCTCAGCAATCGATTCGCGCCAGGTCACGTATGAGTGCGGATGAACCCTTCAAATTGGGTCGACACACAAGAGCATTTTTAATAATATTTGAAATGCAAAAAATATATGACTAGCGGGAGGAGCTCTTGTAAATGGCGCATTCTTAACGCACCATAGACATTCTGATGCATCGAAGGAAAAAGAGAATGATTTCTCAATTTCCCGTTGTTCTCGCGTAAATTCGGCAAATATGGAACAAATGGATGGAGTTAGGAGAGGAGAGTGGAATGAAACTGAAATATGCATATTCGTTATATACGAGCGATTTTCATAACTGGGTCCG